TCTTAAATGTCTGAGACAGCAGAAAATATCAAAACATAAAAAAGCAAGACAAAATGGTTCCAGCAAATGATCAAAATAAAGACTCAGAAGACCTTCCAGTAAAAGGAAAGGCAATGGAAATACCTGGTAAGGAATTCAAAAGACTAATATTTAGGGATCTCCAAGAGATAAGAAAAGAGATCAAGGAACGCACAGACAAAACCAACAAAAACATATCCAAAATCAAGGAAAACACAAAGCAATAGAATTCAAGAAAATAATACAAGAACAAAACATCAAAATAAATAATTAGAAACCATACAGAACAGTAACTAGAAATACAAAAGACAAACAACAAAATTTCAGAAATGGACAACTCTGTAAAAAGTTTGAGGAGTAAATCTGAAGAAAGGGAAGACAAAATCAGCGAGATTCATGACAAATCAATGGACACCACTTTGATGAAAACTCAGAGAAAAGAATGAAGAAAACCTAAGAATTATATGGGACACAATAAAAAGCAAAAATCTGTGAGTCATCGGAGCTCCAGAACAGGAGAAAATGGAAAACACAGAGAAGACTGTTGAAGATTTGCTGGCAGAAAACTTCCCAAATATCATGAAAGACAAAAAGCTGACCATCCAAGAAGCTCAATGAACCCCATATAGGACAGACCCTGAAGACAATCACCAAGTCATCATAATCACATTTGCCAAAACTAAAGACAAGAAAGAATCCTGAGAGCGGCGCAAAAAAATGAAGAGTCATTTACAAAGATGAAACAATAAGACTAAACTGATTACTCAGCAGAAACTACGCAAACAAAAAGGCAAAGGGATAACACATATAAAACCTTAAAAGAAAAAAAATGCCAACCAAGAATAATATATCCTGCAAAACTCTCTCTCAAATACAAGGGCAAAATTAGGACATTTCCAGATAAACAGAAATTAAGGGAATTTTTAAAAACCTAACCAAACTTACAAGAAATGTTAAAGAGAACCTCCAGTTAGAGAACCAACAACATCAGACAACAAACTATAACACACAGGACAGCATCAGCCAGATAACAACCTAGATAAAGAACTCTCAATAATAAAACAAGGCTAAAAAACTTCAATCAGGGAAATGAGACACCAATCTATAAATGACGACAACATCAAAACAAGTAAAGGGGAAATAAACAGTGCAAGTATAGAACTTTCAAATGGAGAGGAAGTCAAGATGATATCAAATAATAAGAGACTGGTTCAAACTTAGGAAGATGGGGTAAATTTCAAGATAACCACACATAAACTTAACAAACCTACTCATCAGCAAAAAAAAAAGAAGAAAAACATAAAGATTCAGTAAACACAAAATCTACAGTAAGAAAATCCACAAACAAAAGAAACTCAGAACAGGAGAGTAAGAGGAACAAAGAAAATGTCAGTACCACAAATAAAAGCACAACAATATGATAGCAATAAACTCGCACCTATCAATAACCACACTGAAAGCAAATGGTTTAAATGCACCTGTAAAGAGACAGAGTGGCAGAATGGATAAAAAAAAAATGACCCATCAATATGCTGTGTACAAGAGACACATCTTAGACACAAAGACATAAATTTATTACAAATCAAAGGATGGGAAAAAAATATCAAGGGCAAGAGTGGCAATACTAATCTCAAATAAAAGAGACTTTAAGGCAACACCAACAATAAAAGACAAGGAAGGACGTTATATAATGATTAAAGGGACAATACACAAAGAAACATAGCCTTAAAAAATATTTATGCACCCAACAACAGTGCCCAAAATACATAAATCAAATTCTAACAGGCCTGAAAAAAGAAATAGACAGTTCCACAACAGTAGAAGGCGACTTCAACACACACTCTCAGTAAAGGACAGAGTATCTAGAAAGAAACCCAACACAGATATAGAAAATCTAAAGGCCAAAATAAAAAAACTGGACCTCATAGCATATATAGAATACTACAACCAACGGCAGCAAAGTATTGATTCTTTTCCAACACACATGGAACATTCTCCAGAACAGACCACATTTCAGGCCACAGCAACCCTCAATAAAATCCAAAACACTGAAATAATACAAGGCATCTTTTCTGATCAAAATGCCACAAAAGTAGAAATCAATAACTGGAAGAACAAGGATAAAAAATCAAATACATGGAAATTGAATAACACCTTGCTTAAAAACAAATGGATAATAGAAGAAATCAAAGAGGGAATTAAAAAAATTCCTAAAATCAAATGAGAATGAAATCATATCATACCAAAACCTTTGGGATATATCAGAGGTCAATTTATAGCAATAAATGCACACATTAAAAAAAAAAAAAGAACAAGACAAAATCAAAGCACTAGCCCTACAACACGAACAATAAAAAGACAACAGCAAAAGCCCACAGCCAAGAGAAGAAAGGAAATAATAAACATTAGAGCAGAAATAAATGAAATAAGAGAGTAGAAAAACAATAGAAAAAAATCAACAAAATGAAAAGTTGGTTCTTTGAAAAGATCAACAAAATCGACAAACCACTGGCCAAACTGACAAAAGAAAAACAGGAGAGGAAATAAATAACTCAAATAAGAAATGAGATGGGGGACATTACAACAGACATAGCTGCAATAAAAAGGATCATAACAGAATACTATGAAAAATTGTACTCCAACAAATTTAAGAACCTAGAAAAAATGGACAAATTCCTAGAAACAAACTATCTACCTAAACCAACACAAACTGAGATAGAAGATGTGAACAGACCCATAGCAAGAGAAGAGATCGAAGAGGTACTTAAAAAAAAACCTCCCAACAAAAAAATGACCTGGCCAGGATGGCTCCACTGGAGAATTCTATCGAACATTCAGAGAACAGCTCACATCAGTACTACTCAAATGAGTAGTAAATGCTCAAGATCATTAGCCATTAGTGAAATGCAAATCAAAACTACACTGAGAAACCATCTCACTGTGACATTATTGGCACAAATCAAAAAAACAGAAAATAACAAGTGCTGGAGAGGTCTCGGAGAGACTGGAATTCTTGTGTACTGCTCATGGGAATGTAAAATGGTACAACCACTACGGAAAACAATATAGTGCTTCCTTAAAAAGCTAGAAATAGAAATACCATATAATCCAGCAATCCCACCCCTAGGAATATATCCTAGAGAAATAAGAGCCGTCACATGAATACACATATGCACACTCATGTTCATTACAGTATTATTCACAATAGCAAAGGATTCAAACAACCTAAGTGCCCATCAACAAATGAACGGCTTAACAAATTGTGATATATACACACAATGGAATACTACACAATAATAAAGAATAATGACAAATCTTTGAAATATCTTACAACATGGATGAATCTGGAGGGCATTACGCTGAGTGAAATAAGTTAATCACAGAAGGACAAATACTATATGAGACCACTATTTTAAAAACTCAAGAAAGCTTTACACATAGAAAGAAATAATCTTTGATGACTACTAGGGGAGGGGAGGGTTGGGGAGGGGAAATCATTAGATAGTACGTAAGTGTTAACTTTGGTGAAGGGGAAGACAGTGCACAATATAGGGGAAGTCAGCACAACTTGACCAAGGCACAGAAGCTTCATAGGCACATCCAAACACCGAGGGACTAGGGGCTGAGGATCATGGTTGCAGGGGTCATCTAGGTCAATCAGCATAACGAAGTTCATAAAGAAAATGTTCTACAACCAACTTTGGTGAGTAGCATCTGGGTCTTAAAAGCTTGTGAGTGGCCATCTAAGATACATCTACTGGTCCCATCCCTCTGGAGCAAACGAGAATGAAGAAAACAAAAGACACAAGGGAAATATTAGTCCAAAGGGCTAAAAGACCACAAGTACCACAGCCTCCACCAGCCTGAGCCCAGAAGAACTAGATGGTGCCCAACAACCACACCAACTGCTTTGACAGGGATCACAATACAGGGCCCCAGACAGAGAAAGAGAAAAATGTAGAACAAAATTGAAATTCACAAAAAAAAGACCAGACTTACTGTTCTGACAGAGATTATGTCAGAAGAACCTCTGAGACTAGGCCCCCGGACACCCTTTTAACTCAGAACTGAAGCCACTCCTGAAGTTGACCCTTTAGCCAAAGATTAAACAGGTCTATAAAACAAACAATAACACACGTGAGGAATGTGCTTCTTAGTTCAATCATAGATACAAGACCAAAAGGGCAACACCTCCCCAAAAGCAAAAACAAGAAAGCAAGAAGGGAGGAAAAATGGACAGATGGAAATGAGGAATTGGGGTGCGGAAGGGGAGAGTGTTGACCCATTGCAGGGATTGCAACTGATGTCACAAAACAATTTGCGTATAAATTGTTGAATGAGAAACTAATTAAAAAAAAAAAAAAAGCAAGCAAGAGAAGCAGAGATGGAGGAAGAGAGATGCCAAGCCGTATGAAGATCACCCAGGAGCAGAAGCAAAAAGAGACAAGAACCTTCCTCCAGAGCCAACAGAGAGAGAAAGCCTTCCCCTAGAGCCAGCACCTTGAATTCGGACTTCTAGCCTTCTAAACTATGAGAAATAAATTTGTTTGTTAAAGCCAGCAATTTGTGGTATTTCTGTTATAGCAGCATTAAATAACTAAGACACAGAGTATGCTAAGACAAAAAGGAATAGTCACAGAAAAAGTAGAGAGGAGTGAAAAGCATGGAACAAATAAGGAACAGCAAGTACATGCAGTAGAAGTACATCAGTGCAGCTGGCTGGGCACTACAGCAAAACAGGCCCAGGGTAAGTTCTTTTCCCTCTCTGAGCCTCCATTTCTCCAAACCCACCCTTCTAGTAGCTGAAGCCCAAATGACATAAAGAAAGCTCTAAAGTGCTCTGAAAAACTAAACAATGAAGATTATAATCATTATAATATTATTTTTTTATAAATGTTCCTGGAAAAGAGTTTAAAAAAAAAAAGAACAACACATGCTAAATCAACAGATTTAAATACAAAAGAAAACAAAAGTTATGGTACCATAAGCAACAAGTCCTTTTGATTGACACTTTCTGTTAGACGTTTGATCTCTTGCTCTTGACTGCACAATTTTTGATTACTTTCACTCAAAAGACTCTTGTAGCGATTCTCCACTGCTTTCTCTCTTTCAGTCACTTCATCACGTAGTTTCTCAACTTGATTTCTAAGGTCCTATCCAGAAGAGAGGGAAAAAATGGAAGTTACTTGACAAAAATTTCAAGGTGACAATCCCCCACCTATCTGACATGCCAAATTACTGCTATAAGAGAGCATGCTAATAGATGTATTTAACAAATGTGTACTTTCTTCTCATTTAGTCTTAATGAAAACCAACTTTAATAATCAGAAACTTGAAAAAAAAAACTTACACACAGATAATTTATGATATCACTCTTTCCAATATTGAAAAACAAGAAAGAAACTAGAAATCCAACAATAGGGAAATAATTTTAAAGATATTATATAATACAGAAAAAGCACAATTACGAGTAAAAACAAACCAGGGTATCAAATTGTATATGTAATAGGATGCTGATTGTTTTCTAAATGATTATACAAAATGCTGTTAATACTAAGAGGAAAAACATCAAAATGATAACAGTATACCTGAGTAAAGATGATGGGTGATGTTCATTTGATTTTTACTTTTTTATTTTTCTGCATTTCTAAAATCTCTAAATAAGTCTATTACTTTCATAACCAGAAAAAAAAAATTGTCTTAAATTATATCATTTACAAAGAATTTACAGTAACATGGAAAATGCTCATGTTAATGTTAAGGAAAAAAGCAGAAAACAAACAGCATACAGTGTGATTCTGACTACCTTAAAATACGTACTATTCATAATACTGGAGCACTACTTGTAATAGCAAAAGGAAGGAAACAATCCAAATACTCACCAGAAGAGGAATAAACTATGATACACTCTCACCACGGAGTACTATTATGCTATAAAGGAAAAACAGTAAGGATGCTCTCTATAAATATATCACCCTAAAGTAATCTCCAGAATATATTGTTAAATGGGCATGGGGGGGAAGGACGCAGGAGAAAAAAGTATGTACAGCATACTGCCATTTATTTAACCATAAAATAAATTACATAGCTGCCTAGAACAGGGAGAGCCCTGGTGGCATGGTGGTTAAGCACTCGGTTGCTAACTGAAAGGTAGGCGGTTCAAACCCACCAGCTACTCCTTGGAAACCCTATAGGACAGATCTACTCTGTCCTATAGGATCACCATGAGTCAGAATCCACTCAATGGCAATGGGTTCTAGAAAAGGTAAAAGGGACAGATACAGATATGAGAACTCATTTTAGGAATGTGTGTTAGTCATCTAGTGCTGCTATAACAGAAATAACCACAAGTGGATGGCTTTAACAAAGAGAAGTTTATTTCCTCACAGTAAAGTAGGCTAAAAGTCCAAATTCAGGGCGTCAGCTCCGGGGGAAGGCTTTCTCTCTCTGTCAGCCTTCTCATCAATGTTCCCCCGGACTAGGAGCTTCTCCACACAGGAACCCCAGGTCCAAAGGATGTGCTCTGCTCCCATCACTGCTTTCTTCGTGGTAGGAGGTCCCCAACTCTCTGCTTGCTTCTCTTCGCTTTCATTTCTTGTAAGATAAAAGGTGATGCAGGCCACACCCCAGGGAAACTCCTTTTACACTGGATCAGGGATGTGACCTTAGTAAGGGTGTTACAATCCTACCCTAATCCTCTTTAACATAAAATTACAATCACAGAATGGAGGACAACCAAACAATACTGGGAATCATGACCAGCCAAACTGATAAACCCATTTTTGGGGGGACAGAATTCAATCCATGACAAGATGTGATTTTGGAACCATTTAAATGTTCAGATAATTATTAAAAAAATGAAATAAAAATCACTTAAAACTGAAAGCAAAAACAAATGTATTTAACTATGTATCAAGTTGATTGGCTAATCAAACAGAGAGGAATTATTTCAAGAACTTTAAAGCAGAGTAATCTGTACATCCCTAATGGGATATTTCCCTAAGGACAAAAAGGACTACAAAAAAATCTTTCCAGCAATCATGTTGTAATTAATAATACTGGTATTTTTATTCAAAAACTCAGGGTGTGTGTGTGTGTGTGTGTGTGTGTGTATTTATTAGATAAATAATTATTAAGGTCATTAAGAACCAAGACTTCAATCATTACAAAATATAAATATAAAGTAAGTTAAAATTTATAATTCTGAATCAGAATTGGAAATATCAATATGAACTTCTATTTCCTGTGATTTCCTACCTCCTTCCACTGAAAAAGCCTAGAATTAGTGTTCCCCCTAGTGTCCAGACTACAGGCTCTAAATACCATTTGCCAACACAAAGAACCAGAGTTCCTTACTGCACTGGTTCTCAAAGTGAAGTCCCTGGAAAAGCAGTATCAGCATCACCTAGAACTTGTCAAAATACAAATTCTTGGGCACACCCCAGACCTATGGAATCAAAAACTCTGGAGGTGGGGTACATCAATTTGTGTTTTAACAAATCCTCCAGGGAATTCTGATGCACACTAAAGTTTGCCTTATAGAAAGGGCCAATTCCAGGCCTTGGGCAAGAATGTACAATATGAGCCCAGAAATTTACTCCTGTAAAAAAAGAAGAAAGCTCCCAAAGACCACACGGTTCATGTTCAAGACACTGAAGAATCAACTTAAATAAGCTTTTTCTTGGCCCAAAAGTAGGACACTCAGAATATTAACATGGATAATAACAACTAATTAAAATATATCAAAAATGTTATAAGCCTTGGAGTTCATACTGATATTTAAAAAAAAAAAAAAACTGGTCACTGTAGTAGGCAGAATAATGGTCCTGGTGCCCTGGTGACACAGTGGTTAAACACTCGGCCGCTAACCAAAAGTTTGGCAGTTCAAACCCACAAGCAGCTCCTGGGGAGAAAGATGTAGCAGTCGGCTTCTGTAAAGATTACAGCCTTGGAGACCCTACAGGGCAGTTCTACTCTGTCCTATAGGGTCACTATGATTTGGAATCAACTCAATGGCAATGGGGTTGGGTTTTTGGTTTAAAGATGTCCATGTCCTAATTCCCAACCAAAAAAACCAAACCCATTGCCCTCGCGTCAATTCTGACTCATAGCGACCCTATAATGTAATCTTGCCAAAAAATTAAGCCTGAATTTAAACATGCATCTTATCTAACTACTAATATACTAGAAATAGAATCAGCAGAAAAAGTGAATATGACAAAGATACAATCAACAAAATCTGGAATGTAGAAAACTCTACAGGACAAGTGACCCAATTTATTCAACAAATAAATTACAATGAAAAAGAAAGGGGGAAACTGTGATTAAACAATACTTAAGAAAGTTGGGGAAGGCTAAAGTGAATTATGTATATCAATATGAATTCATAACTTTTATACACACACATACACACAGCTGGATATAGAAATATAGATGTGTATACACATGTGTTAGTATACGTACATCTATTTCCTAGTTCTGTCCACTGAGAAGGCCTAGAATCAATGATATCCAGTAGTAATAAGCACACCTATCATTAAGATCTTGGTTTCTAAATGTCATTCTCCAATAAAAGAAACCAAGGATCCTTGGAGAAGTATGATGGGAAACAGGATATTTATATCATCTCAGAATATCTCCTCACAAGACGCTTAGTAATTACAAAAGGAAGAAAGAATAACTTTGTAGTGGAGAAATTCAGTAGACACCTCCATAACCAAGTGATCAACATTAACATAACAGGGTAATAAGATATACTGACAACATGTACCTCCAGATATGATACACTTGGTGTGCTAGTCCTCAATCTAATCATGAGAGAAACATCAGACAAACCAAAACTGAGGGATATTGCATAAAATAGTTGACTAATACTCTTCAAAAGAGTCAAGGTCATGAAAGACAAAGACTGAGCAACTGTCCCAGACTGGACAAGGCTAAGGAGATATGCCAATTAAATGCAGGGTAGATTCTGAATTGGATCCTGGACCAGAAAAGAGCATTAAAATGGGCAAGCTGGCAATACCCAAATGAGGTCTGTAGGTTACTTAATAATATTGTATCAGTGTTAATTTCCTGGTTCCAATAATTGTACTACAGTTACGTACAATGTTAACATTAGGGGAAGCTGGGTTAAGGATATACAGGAACTCTCTGTACTATTTTTGTAACTCTTCTACAAGTCTTAAATTATTTCTAAATAAAAAGTTTTTAAAAAGAGACTTAAGAGACATATCAACCAATGCAACACGCATACTTTGTCTGGATCATGATTTGAACAAACTAACTTTAAGATTTTTTTTTTGTTTTAATGAGACAATCAGGAAAATCTAAACATTATTTGGATATCTGACAATGTTAAGAGATTACATATCTTTTAGATGTGATAATGGTATTTTTTAAAACATACTAAAATACTGATGAAATGACATGTCTGAGATTTGCTTAAAATAATTCACTGTGAAACAGGATTCAGGGAGAGAGCATAGATGAAACAAGGTTTCTGAAGCTGAGTGACAAGTACACAGGGGCTCAACGTATTATTCTCTTTCCTTCTGGGAATATTTGCATATTTCCATAATAAGCCGTTTTTTTAAAGGACACTGATAAAAAACTTGGAAGAAACACATAATTATAGATAATTTTTTAAATTATGGTCTTTTTTTCTATTTTTAAATTTTTTCATACTTCATATAAGCTACATTCACATAGAAAAAAAAACTTTAAAAATTAAATGTTAATTTTTTTCTTGAGCAAACAGATGATGATGAGATTGCCCTAAAGCTTTAATCTAAAACAAGTGGACCAAGAAACTATGATGAACTGTAAATGTCAGTAAATAGAAATTCAATTCTGGAGGGGAAAAGAAGGATTTTTTATTATACAAATAATACCAAGGGAACATTAACAGAATTCTAAAATTAAAGAATAAAAATATTCTCCCATAATACAGTCATGCCAACAAATTAAACCATTTTCAATTTGTAGATGTTCCTTTCAGTCCTTGTCCATCTGCAGCCATAACTTTTATATAATTTTAACTTTGGCTTGGACTTTTTCCCACTTAACTTCATTTCTTCCATTACACCATGACCTACCAATTAAATAATGATGACAGAAAAAGAACAATTATAAAATAAAAAGAAAAGCTTAA